GCAAATTCTCTGTTTTCTATGCTTTTTTTCTTCTGAATATTATCACTACTTTTTAAAGAACATATAAGGTAACAGGCTTCATTATGGCATTTTCATGCATAAGAATCATGATTTATTTAAACTCATCCCCCTCTACTGATGCCCCCTATTGACTCCTCTGGTTCGTCCCCTGGCAAGTTCTCATCTACCCCCCAAAAAGCAGCCCTTCTCTTTTTATGACATGTGTTCAATTTCATCCCTTTCCCTAACTCCTATAAGATCTCTTCCCACCCTTGCACGATCCCCTTTCTAATCCCCTAACACACACACACACACACACACACACACACACACACACACACAACACACACTGAGTTCCCTTCCCAGCTTGACTTTCTCTTTTTTTTACATCCATATTTTTTATTTCTGTATTTTTGTGTGTTGTATATTGTATATTGTTTGTGTTTGTGAAGAAGCTCCACACAGACATGGATCTATGTTTTTATCACTATATGTTCCAAATGCCCAATATGGTGTTGCTTCGAAGACAGAGTAGCCGTGCAATATGCATTTATTGAATGTTTATTGAACGTTGGGTAGATGGATGGCTGGGGTGAGTGGGTGGAAGGATAGGTAGATGGGTGGGTAAGGAGTGGTGGATGGATAGATAGATGGATTGATGGGGTGAAGGATGGATGGACAGATGAATAGATAGGTAGTTGAGTAGGTGGCTGAGTGCATGGATGGGTAGATGGGTAGATGGATGGGTGAATGTATAGGTGGGATGTAAGATAGATGGATGGGTGAGTAGATGAATGGAAGAATGGATAGGTGAGTATGTGGATAGACAAATGATTGAATGGATGGATGGTAAGTGGGTAGATGGATGAATGAGTGAGTGGGTGGGTGGGTGGTAGGTGAGTGGGTGGATGGATAGGTGACTGAAGGTGGATGGATAGGTGGGTGAGTAGATGGATAGATGGATGGGTTGTGGTGGGTAGATAAATGGATGGATAGATGGATGGATTGGTGGATGGGCAGGTAAATGGGTGGGTGGGAGTGTGTAGGTGGGAGTGCGTAGGTGGATGAATGAATGGATGGGTAGTTGGTTGGATGGATGGATGGATGATTGGGTGGATGGAGGGATGAGTGGGCAGATGAATGAATGGGTGGACGAATGGAGAAATGAGTAATTGGTTGGGTGGATGGAGGGATGGGTGGGCAGGTAAATGGATAGATGAATGGATGATTGGATGGATAGACGGATGGATGATTGGGTGGATAGAGGGATGGGTGAGCAGGTGTATGGATGGATGGGTGAAAGGAAGGATGGCTGAGGAGATGGGTGACTGAGTATATAGGCCATGCACTACTATTATTCTCACTTTACAAGTGAGTTAAGTGAGGCCCAGAGAAGTTAAGAACCATGTGCCTTGGAGCTAGGGAGGGCCTACTGGGTCTCAAGAGTGTGGCTCATTGTAGTGTTTTCTGCTTCACTTCCTCCCTCCTCTGAACAACCCCGGAATCCAGTAAAAATCTACCAGGATAGATGAGCAATCACTGAACTGCAGTCAGCTTGATGATTCAGAAGGGCCCTTGGGTGGTGCCAGGCCCTCACTGCAACTGTGCAGAGACCCTGTCTAGGGAGGGATGCTGGGGGTTGGCTCTGCACTACACAGAGCACCCCGTGTTCACCCAACCCTGGAAAAGTTCAAGTGAGTCTGGAGCTCACAGCCTCATCCTCAGGGAATTCAGTGGGCTCAATGGGAAATCAAAGCAGACTCATGCAGAAGTCAGTTGGCTGTGCTGAAAACTCCTGAAAGGGTAGCCAGAGGCTGGGAATTAAGCACTAGAAAGGGTTCTGATGAAGAAGGACAGATTGGATCTGCAGATGTGCCCTGCTACCTACAAACCATGTGACAGGACCACTCTGAACCTCAGTTTCTTCATCTCTGACATGGGAGGAACCAAACTCTCTCAGAACTATAGTCAGGGGTAACTAGAAAATTGTCAGGGCATTGCCTGGCTCTGGGCAGCACTGAAGAAGCCTGGAGCAGCCAGGGCGCTGAGTGCTGAGAAAACACGTTTTTGTTCTGACCTCAAATTCCCTATGAAGCCAAGGATGACTTTGACCTCTTTATTCTTCTGCTTCCACCTCTCAAGTGCTGGGGTTACAGATATGTATCACCATGCTCAGTTTGTGTGGTGCTAGAGACTGAACCCAGAAATTCCTGCATGATAGGCAAG